TTTGGAAGCTATCCGCAATCCACAGAAAGTGAGTAACATCGTCGATTTAGATGCTAAAATATATTTTATTCATCGATAATTTCACTTTAAATCTAAATTGTGATAGGCCTGGATTGCCTCTATTATTATAGTGGCAAATCCCTAATCTTTATTTGCTATAAATACGTTTCGATACTACCAGTAAGTCACATACAGGAGATGTATTCATCCTTATTCATTCATTTAAGGCGATAAAGGACTAGATTGTCCTATAAAGATAAGTAGGCCTCTGATTTCCATTCAATTTCACACAGCTTTGCTTCCTGAAAAGCTAGAATGGACTGTAATCTTGACCTGGCCTAGGTCTCATAAGTACTCCCAGGAACGCTCGACCCCTGATTGTTTTAGTCCAGCGTAGAATCTCGACACGTCAATAATTACGCCACAATGCCACAATTGTTTTTGGGCCACAGGAGAGACTTTAATTTCAAGAAAGGTCAAGCCTTTCCCAATTCCAACTCATGGATCGGGATTGCCGATGAAGCAGAAATTATTACAATCGATTACGTTACTTATTTTCGTTTTAAGTAGGTAGTATGTTATTTATCACTACACCTAATCGTTTCATTAAGCCTATCGCTTTTTGGCATTTTTTACCTTAAATATACACTATTTATGAATATCTTCATACGGACTCATTCACTGGGACTGTAATCCAATCAGATTTTCCTTAACTGTACCGAACCTATCACTAGATTTACCAGACGGTGATATTTCAGAACAAGCCAGGCCAAACACCCGACATCAACAAGAAGCCGACGTTCACATCATGCGAGGTTAGAATCGGCCAAAGCTTTAAGCTGATCAGTTTCCCTACACCATTACCTTTGTCGTGGCGGTGACGTTTCCTCACGCGCATTCCAATCACTTCTACACTACAACGAATCGCCTAAAAAGGCGTTTTTATTATTGTCATACCTTTCATTTCGTCTGAGAAGGCGGGTAGCAGGGACTCGTAGATTGGCTTCACCGAATACCGAAATGGGATTGCCTTAGATTTTTGTCCGTAGAGTTGTGCAGAGTAGACCTCGGCTCACCGTCCTACGACCCAGATGACTCCGTGCTGAGCTTTCGTCTGTAATGTGACGTACATCATCAGAGCCAGAAACCCTTATTCACGAACAATCACCAAAGCCAACTGAGATCCTACTTACTTCTTACACTTCACTTTGCGATCTTAATGAGGCAATCCATGATTTAGTTGGTTGTTTTAAGTTTGCCCTACATGCATTTAAGCGATTCGAAGTGATGCAGATGGGAGCGGATGTGATCACAACCAGCTCGCGAGTGTTGCATACACACACGAACATGCATCCACGAAGTCATAACAAGCCCCAGGATTACCGAATTATACGCTAGTTTATTTACAGACAAAAGTTGTGACCACATCCTCTCCCCTTCCTGTAGCACTTTGACTCGCCTAATTGCATGTAGGACAAGCATAAAACAACCAACTAAATCATGAAATGCCTCATTAAGATCGCAGTGAGGTACAATAAGTAAGTCGGATTTCAGCTGGGCACCTTTCTCGGTTTCGGTTTTTTGGTGATTGTTCGCGAGTAATGGTTTCTAGCTCTGACGATGTTCGCCACATGATGGACGAAAGCTCAGCACAGAATCATCTGGGTCGTAAGATAGTGAGCCGAGGTCTACTTTGCACAACTCAACAGACAAAAGTCCAAGTCACCCCTGCTTCAGTATTCGATAAGGCCAATCTACTAATCCCTGCCACCCGCCTGCTTAAACAAAACGAAACGTATGTCATTATCAATCCACTAAGGCAGTGATTCCCAAATTGTGCGCTGCGGCGCCCCGGAGGGCCGTGGCCTCTTTACAGAGGCGCCGCGAAATATTGTAAAAGCTTCAATTTGAGAAAATGGGCGGTGATTTGCAGGCTCATCCATCACATTAATTATTAAATATTAATTTAATGTTGATAAAATAATAAAAATAATAAAGATACACGAGTTTTATTTATTTTTCTCTCTTGCTTACGAATAGTCATATTTAGGGTAGGGGGCCATGAAAAAATTTTAATTGAAAAGGGGCGCCGCGACTAGGAAAAGTTTGGGAACCACTGTACTAAGGGATTCTTCGAAACCCAGCTCTTTTTCGTTTTTGATGTGGAGTACCTTTTATTTCATTTGAGAAGGCGAGTGGAAAGAATTGATGAGTATGCAACACCGAAATGCAAAAAAAGATTGCTTTGGATCTGTAAATGTAGATTTATAAATCCCGTTCATTCACCCCCTATAACTAAATTAAATGTACTACAATCACAATCTAGTAAGGAATTCTTCAGAACTCACACACAACCAGGAACCCCTCGTCACCATGTAAAGCTGGGCCAGCCTTCCCTCTAGATTACGGTCTTCGCAGTCCGCGCCTAACATTTGCTATTTTTATGCATGTACATGCTCCTCCATCACCATCTCTCCGAAATCTGCATTCGCATCAGGACAAAGTTGGGTGGACCAAAGTCTAAGTCCTCCAGCTACCGTATCTACAGCAGTGAAGTGACTTTATCAAAGGGCCAACTTAAAATCAACACTGCGTCTGCACGTTGTGTCTCTTCGGAGCATCCCAGCATGGCGTCTCTTCGGTATGGCTACACAACCCCAGCAAACCGTCACAGTTGTTCAGTTCCTGTCGTTCCCTCCTGATAATTATCCAAATCCTTTTAATAAGTACGAAATGACGCTTTAATATAACCACATATCTAGATATACTCGATTATATGATAAATCTGCAACGTAATTTTGTTTGTAACTAATCAGATATAACTTGTTCAGAGATTCGGATAATTTAAAATTTAGCCAGCAATAATTTAAGAAAATATGGAATGCATAGAGCCTTTTGCGATATAAAGATCACTGAAACTATAAAATCAAAACCATGCGCACACTACTGGATAGATTCGCGCGACAATTAAAAAGCAGGGATTTTAGGCGGAAGAGATAAGAAATAATAATATGATGAAAGACTATGGTATAAGCTAGGTTTTTAAGAATGTTTTACCACTACATTTCAAATAAAAGTTTCAGATTAAGGGATAGTTTCGAAAATCTACATTATACGAATATAACTAAGTTTCAAATATGAGCTAGCTGAAGTGGTGTGTAGTAGAAACTAATGCAGACAACTTCCAATATTCTTATGTATTGTTAAAGAACAGAGATTTAGAAGTTGTTTGACCTTGTTTTCGTAACGCGGTCATATTGGTAGGAAGACTTAAAGGAACGCACCTAGTCCGGAGTCCATTGTATGCATCATCATTT